TGAACCAGTGTCCAGTCTACAAAGAGGAGGCTCAACAGAGGATTCATTTCCTCCATGCTTCCAAGCGAAGCCAACCATGGTTGAGCAGGACTTTTGACTTATCTTCACATAGGTGGAACTGGTAAAAGAAAGGAGCCAGGGGCTCCTCCCAAGCCCATGTGACCCCTGAGGAACAGATCCTCAAACGACCTTAAGAGTTAAAATAAATTGGCTTATCTGGATCAACTCTATTGCCTTAAACACCCAAAAGGAAAGTATAACCAAAGATTAAAGGGCCAATATAATTTCTTAAGCATATGCATAGCTAAAAGCTACATAGCAAGCAACAATGCCAGATAACTCATGAATTTTTATAGTACCCTCCCAAATGCTTCCATTGCAATAGTAAGGGTACATATGGTAAAAGTTCAGCAATGTATAAAAAGGAATAATAGAGAAAATGTTAGGAGCTGGTTCTTCAGATGGTAACTGTGTCTTTCTTTGTATAATGATTATAAATTTGTGAATTCCATTCCCCACTTTTTAATATTTCAGACTCACACTTCTTTTAGACTAGGTAAACATGGGAAAGAAAGAAAATATACATAGCATTTTAAAATATTTTAATTTTTAGTCCTTCTGCTCGGAATTTCCTAAAGTCCCATGTTCATTTCATTGTTTTCACTCCTGGTTTATAGTCTTCTTTTCAATTTCCCTCTGAACAAATCATTACCATCTGTCATTATTGATGCTTGAGTCAGAAGACAAGAAAGTTGAGGTAGCTAAGCTGTGAGTTCTAAGTACCAGTTCTAAGTACTATGCAGAAGCTAGAGACTTGCTCTTTTCCAGGTTTAATGAACTGAAAACAAGAGGGAAGGAAGATTGCGTCAGGAGGTGCTGGGATTGGGACTAATGCCAACATGCTTCTTTGGTGCAGCCATATAGCTACATTCTTGAGGAATCCTAGCAAGAGTTGAAGACAATCCAGAGAGGTCCAGACCAGAAGGTTTCCTGCTATCACCATGTCTGACTCACCCCTGTCATCTGGGTCAGGCTCCCTGGAGAGCAGGCACTGTTCTAACCTAGACATTCCATAGTTCAAGGTTATTCTTTCCCATGATCTTGGTGATGAAAAGCCATGTCTTAGAGGAATCTACTTTTCCCTGAATCCTCATACCAAGTTCTGGGATATCTCCCGAAAGTCTCCTAATAGTAAAAGTCACCTGACACCTCTGGCCCAATGGGCATTCCAGCAGGCATTGTTTCCTATCCTGATTTAACTAGGTTTTTATCTTTCCAGCAAACCTGTAAACACGAAAAATGTCTTTGATTGTGGGTGGTGGTGGGGTCTATTTCTCTCCTTTTTCTTAGATCAACTCCTTTAGAAAACATGTAGTTACTTGCACATTTTCATTCTCTCTCTTATTTTGTTTGGGAGACAGGGTCTCTCTGCAGCCCCAGCTGGCCTGGAACTCACTATGTAGACCAAGCTGGCTCAATCTCAGGAAGATCCACTTGCTTCTGCCTCCAGAGTGCTGGGATTAAAG